ATGTAGCTGAACGTCGCTCTCTCCTTCTGCAGAAGCCAAAAATCCCTATTCTGTGCGGACTCAGTTTCTCTTTTATGAACCTACATTTTTGAACGTAACAATCACATTTACCGAGTTAGTGGCTGGTGAGCTCAAGTTGTAAGTCACCCATCCTGCAAACAGGAAGCCTGAGTTTGCATCCCAGTTGGGGGGAATGAGCTGCCAGTGTGGGCCCTTAGGCAAGACCCTTCATGCTAATGTCTGCTTTGGGGAGTGGCGGCCTAGTGGTTAGGGCATTGCGCCAGAGGTTCTAAGTTTGAGCCCCACTCCCACAGACTGCCACTCTGGGTCCCTGAGCAAGACCCTTAACCCCACACTGCTCCCTGGGAGCAGTGTGGGGTTACAGAGACAGAGAGTTTATTTTGTTGCTCTGTACTTGTGACAGTGTAATGACAATAAAACAAAACAAAACAAAAAAACTCTAGAGTGATGGCCAGGTACAGCTTTACTGAAACATATCTGGATAATGGACTGAACAACAATCCAACTCTAAACATAAAGCTCATCTCTGAATGGGTTAAACAATAACAGCCAAGTCAAAGTCCAAGATGAAATCTGGTTGAGATGCTGTAGACTGACCATAAATAAGCTAACCTGACTCTGCCAGATGGATTTGCTCCGCATATCCATCTGGAAACCTTCCGTTGAAGTAATTTTGGGAAGGGGTGAAAATACTGGTTAGCTGATTGGCCTATGTTGGTGATAGACGGGCCAAATAAACCAATCAGATCAACGAAGCATATGACGTACTAACAGCCAGGCTACTCTTGCCGAAACTAGTCGGGAGAAGAGCAAAAACAATTTTTTTTCACTGAGAAAAGCCTCCAGAGCAGTGTTTTGCTCTTCTTTCAGTGAAGAAATACTCTGTAATTCCGATAAAACTTGCTCGATAGCCACGCTAACACTAGTTTCATTGGCCGAAGCCGCCATGTTCTTTAGACTGAACTGTTGCGCTTCTCGTTGCGTCACACCTCAACCCGCCTCAAAGCCAACGCTGATTGGACGTTCGTTTGGTGAATGGCTCCAAATTTTCTTCAATGGAGAGTCTCCAGACTGATCTGAGAGTGAAACCTTGAAAGCTCGCGAGATCAGGATGGTCTCACGAGGCTATAAACAAGCTGCTCATAGTGGAGAATCCTCCAATAATATATCTGTAAAGCAGAGTGTATCCACTTCCTCCCAGAGATGTTAAATTGTAGCTGTGATCACGCCCATGATTGGGGTCAGTTGTCCCCGGCCCAGGATAGATGGGGGGGCCATAAATATCATTATTTTTTAAAGATGTTTGCAAGGAAATTGTAGCTTTATTCTTAATTTTCATAAAATCTTTATTGTTACTTTATTTCGATTATCCACTGTATTATTGCACTTGAAAAAACTGGAATCTAGATAAGTAATTTTTTCTTAAATTAAGTGCATTTGTTCTTCAAGTTAGGAGGTAAGTGGGACACTAGTCAATGGAACAAGACAATTTACATTTAAACAAAGAAAAAAAACCCTAACCCTTATTTCAACTGAATATTGTCTAATTATCTTATTTTGAGAGTGAAAATGCTCACTCCATTTGCAAATCATCTTATCTACCTACTCAAATTAAAGGTAAATATACTCAATTAAAGACATTTTTACTTATTTCTAGATCGTTTTTGCAGTGTGGGAAGTACCCCCACCAGCCATTCATTCTAACTGGTTATGCCGCTGATGCAGTTTCTATGAAGTTTTTGTCGAGCTGCTAAACATAAGCCTGGCTGGTGGAGACAGGAAAATACAGAACCTTATCTTCCCCTCCTTACATGGTCAGAAAGCAGCTCCTTTAGTTTAACATGAAGGTTACAGCGGCTCTAACCTGAAGAAGTTGCCTCAAGAGGCAGGAACAGCTTTAGATCGAACAGAACTTTAGATCGCCTTCACCTGCAGAAGCCTGAGAAGGTGGTCATAGCTTAAAAACGCTCTGATGGAGCCGAAAACTCAGCAGTTTCTGTCAAGGGTTTGTTCCCTATCTTTGCTAGATGAAGTTATAAGTAACACCAGAACAATGGGTGTTGTGAGAAGTTTATTTGACTGACCTGACGACATGGCGCGTCCGCGGCCGCAACAATGCTGCTGTGGAGGTGAATAAATAGACAATTCTTCTGATCAGCCTCAGCTGCTTAAGATTTTGCCGAGAACATTTAGTGGTCATATTTAAACATGTCACACGTGTGTGTGTGTGTGTGTTTACGCTACATACAGTATAAATAAAGGGGCCGCCACTCGTCAATTCTTTAGCTTTTGTGCGGGGCCGAGCCAAGGCTGTCAGATGGACTGACTGGGATCACCAGCAGATCGGAGTGTTTTTGTTGATTAGATTCAGAATATGATCTTTAAAAAAAGTAAACTGAACAAAATGTGATTTGAAAGAATTGGAGGAGAGGTGGAAGCACCTCATGTGGTTTGAACTATCAAACTGGAGCGAAGTCCAGCAGAAAGAGAGATGGAGCTTAACGAAAAAAGGTTTTCATGTTTAATGATGATGAATATTTCACAGCACAATTTTCTGCAGCTGACTGAGAAATTCACTCTGAAGCTGACCCCAGGCCAGCCGCTGTCATCGCCAGAGAATTAGGAGGACTTTAGCAGAGGCGCTGACCCTGGGTGGAACATAGAGAAGACTAAAGCCTCTTTTAAGAAAATAAAGACATGGCCATACAGATGGAGAGCTCAAGGTTTGGATTTCTTTCATTGCTAATGAAATGTAGACATTGAATGGGCATGCTTGTGTTTGCAGGCTGCAGCTTCAACGCTAACAAGATGTCAGGGTTTCCCAACGAAAAAGCTTCATTTGTGCAGGAGGTGGAACATTTATTAGCAGCTCCGCTTGGTTCACCTCCTGCGCACTACAGTCAAACTGAAAGCACTGATTACAAAATCAATTCTGCTGCACGTCTGTCTTATCGACAGGATAATAAAACGGTCTGGGTTCTGTATGCCGAGCTCGGCACGCTGCAGGAGAACAAACAAAACATTTTAACGTCTCAGTAGAGAAGTGACTGCAGATCTCAGGTGGAAAGTTATGGAGCGACATATAAAACTCAGAAAAACCTCAAAGTCTGGACTTTTTCCGGCTGTAAAAACAAGAGGAATTTGGCCTGGAAGTACAAACACTGTGATTAAAGATATTCAAACTAGCATGAAGTTTATTCACTGCTTTTATTTGAAACTTAAGGTAAGTACGGCAGAAGACATATGAGTAAAAAAAAAAAAAAATTTTTAGAACTGTAAATATACAGTCATTTGTTTATATAACTATTTATTTTAATTCTTTTATTACTGTTTTTCAAGGCTAAACTTTAAAAAATGAAATTGTCTGGAGCTGTTTTAAAAGAAATTTCTTTTTGTATACACTTGTGTATACAAAAATGACAAAATAAATCTGTCTAAGTCAAAGTCTCTATTAAAAAGAAACTCAAATAAAGCTGAAATAGAGCAGAATCATTTTAAACTAGTGATCAGCACTTCACTGGAAAAACAATCTAGAAATAAGGAAAAAAAATCTTAAATGAAGTGTATTAACCTTAATTTGAGTAGGTAAATGAGATGATTTGCCAACTGAATGAGTATTTTTAACCCTTAAAATAATATATTTAGATAAAATGCACTTGAAATAAGACAATTTAATTGTGTTTTCTTATTTTAAATGTAAATTGTCTTGTTCCATTGGCAAAATGTCTCTTTTACCTCCTCAATGACTGATACAGATTTAGATTTTTTCCAGTGTTGGCTTTGTTGCTGCAGCAGCTGAAATAAAGTTCTGGGTCCTTCTCAGGTTCTCCTCCGTCCGGTGGGAGGCTCCTAGGAGGCATCCTGCTCCCCTGTGCCTTTTAGGAGCAGCAGCTTTATACAGGCCACTCATTTATACCAAAATCTGTTTGTTTTTTCATTAAATATACCAGAAACAGTTGAAATTTAATAAAGAAAAAAAGGGGGGATGTTTTATAAACATAACTACAAGTTCTGACATGGCTGCTTCAGAGGTTTGCATTTATAAAAACCTCATATTTACATAAAACTAGACTCTTATTTTATAAATGCAGCAGCAATGTTCTTATGCTGATGATGTGATTTTGATTTATACGCTGAGAGCAGCTGGGGTGAGATGTTTTCAATCCATTTAGTTTTAACATAGTATTAATTCTCCATTTGTCTAAAGGGAAACTTAAGTTCTGATAACTTTACGTATCACTTGATTTAATGTAAAACGTAATTGTTAAAGTACTTTTCTCTCCCAAAATGTTTTTCTACTAATTGTAAGTAATCAGACCACATCTCCTGTAGACCAAACAGGAATCTGGATCAGGACTTTGATGTTATTTCAGCCTGGCTGCTTCCAGACCAGCTGACCAATTTCTTTCATCTGAGGACAGTTTGGGTCAAATGGTGATTCTGAACGATCTGGACTCCTGCAGAGCGGATTAGTCTGCAGGAAAGACTTCCCCAACGTTGGTAGACCTTCCTTCAATCGTTGGACCTCCTCCCTCCTCCTACCTACCTCCTTTATCCTCCCTCCTCCCTCTTCTATCCCACCTCCCTCCTCTGTTGAGTTCTGTTAGCCGAAGTCAGCAGACCTCAGCCTTATCAGGTTCAGGTTCAGCACCTCCCATGTAAATATTTAGATGATGAGCCTCTAGTTTGTTATAAAATCAACCACTCGTATTTGGTTGTTGTCTTAAATTGTGTAACTGAAACATGAAAAGGTTAAAGTGAGATAAAGTCCCAAAGGTGAGGAGTGGATGGAAACCTCTGATTTGCGGTGCAGCTCTGATGATCCTCCTTCTGGATCAGATGTATAAACTTTGGAACAACTCCGGTTTTACTTAAAGGACTGTAAATCACATTTAGACGTGTTTTTGGTTGCATCATTCATCATGAGTTCAGTTGGATTTTATTTTGGAGTTTTTCATTGAGAGTTGTGGAGAACTGACCTTGGTTGCAGAGGGAGCCGAAGAAGCCGGGGAGACAGTTGCAGCGGCCGGTAACGTGGTGGCACGCCTCATCGCTATGGACGCACTGAGGACACGACTGGCTGCAGCGATGGCCGTAGAAACCAGGAGAGCAGGCTGCAGAGGAGACAAGGTTCAGCTGAAAGGACTAATAACTGGGATTCTGGTTCCTTTGGGTCAGTCTGCTGTTTCCATTGGCCTGGATTTTCCTTCCAGTGCAGAGCCACACCCACACATCTTCCTAAAGCCTTTAATTAGCTTTAATTGATGTTGCTCTGAGTGGTGAGGAGACCCTCGCAGGCTGCTCTCCTGCCTCGCTCTCACTACAGCTTCTCCTCATTAAGATAATTGCTTAAACTGTGAACTGAAAAGTCCTAAATCTTCTGCTCTGATCCACAGAGAAGCTGAAGAGATCCAGAGTGGGTCTCAGTGCTCAGACTCAGCAAGAACAAAGTCTGCAAATAGACAAAACCAATTCCAGAGATGTGGTAGGAAGGCCGTTTCTCCTCCCAGCCTGGTGGGGATTTTACAGGTCATTTCACTGGACAACGATTCCTCCTGTTTCTGGGTTCATGGGGGATGGATGAAAAACATCAAACATCCAACATGAAGATGAGAGAAATAATCCCCTTTAAAAAGCCACAGGGGTCCAGGTTGTTAAGGTAAAATACATTGAAAGAAGAAACTCAGGCCAGAGGAAAGATCAGAGGGCAGAGAATGAAAGCAGAGCTTTGTCTCAAAGCTAACATGGAGAAAATAACCCAGAACAAAAAAAAAAAAAAACAAAAGCACATGAAAAAAAGAGGCTCTGAGTAACAATTTTTGCCAAAAATCAAAACTACAATTACTTTCAACCAATATTGCGATTTTATTGCGATTTTCACGTCAATGTTTTCGTCCAGGGTTTCAGTTTTGACCTTGAAAGCCTGCTTGTCCAGAACCCTGTGTTGCAGGACTTTTTGTAACATTTGCATGAAAAAGTTCTTATTTCTGCTATAATACATAGATCTAGGTGCAACTCTCTGTTTCCTTCTACGCGACAGCAAACCCCACTTTAATTATATTACCACCACCTAAAGGGCTGGAAGGAGATATTTAGTTTTTTGCTCTTGTTAAATGTATTGTGACCGAAATTTGAATCTGCGATTTGAAAAGAGCATTTTTTTTTAATTGCTACTATATTGCAGATGCAGTGAATTGCCCAGCCTAATTCTGCAATCTGTCTTCATTCCCCTGAGGTCCAGAGGAGAGTCACATTTGAATCAAGAAGAAGTCCTGAAGGTTTGCTCCAAGACCTCACCATGATACAACCTCAGAGGGACTGGTTGCTGACTACGGGCTGGATGTTCCTTTTTCCTCCAAACATTTGGAAAACTGAACCTTCCCGGAGAATCTCCTACTCCTAAACACTTCTTCTGTTCTAATCAGAACAATCAATCTAACTCTAGATGTAGAGCCGTCCAGAGTTTCTTGGAAGTAACCCCTGCTCAGTGAGATTCTACCAGTTGTTGATCAATGATGGTTCTGATGGTTCCGGGATCAATTCAATTTCAATCCAGTTTACCGTATTTATATAGCGCCAAATTCACAACACAAGTCATCTCAAGGCACTTTACAGTTCAACCAGATCATCCAGTCAAATTGATTCAAAGTTTTCTATCTAAGGAAAACCAGTTGATTGCATCGACTCATTGACTCTTCAGCAATCCCTCACATGCTTGTAGCGACAGTGGAGAGGAAAAACTCCCTATTAACAGGAAGAAACCTCCAGCAGAACCAGGCTCAGTGTGAGCGGCCATCTGCCGAGGCCGACTGGGGTTCAAGGAGACAGAAGCAGACATAGAAAAAGAAGCATAGATACAAAAGGCACCTGTAAAAGGCGGCCCCGTCCAGGAAACACACAGCCAGGCAGACGAGCTCCGAGCCAGCTCCCATGCCAGAGGACGAAGAGAGCACATCCAGTTAGTCACAGTCAGAGAAACAGGACTACACTGGAAAACAGGCTGATCACAGCAGATTCATTTACACAGCTTCCATGAAGGCGTTCATGGTCTTCTATTCTGCAGAAGCTCATGAAACTGCTGAAAATCTGTTCTAACCTCCTGACCCATAACTTCTCCTCACATCTTTTACTTAATATGAGCCTAAATTCAGAATTTAGATGCAATCATCTTTAAGGATGATGATCAGAAAAAACAGAGTATTAACAGCCAAGCATAAGCTGGTGGAACCAAATGGTGAGTTAAAAACAGGCAGTTACTTCTCCTGCAGTTGGTGCCACGGTATCCAGGAGCGCACATGCAGGTACCATCCTCCGGGGAGCAGGAACCCCCGTTCTCACAGGTGCAGCTATAGGAGCAGTTCGGCCCCCAGTGGCCCTCGGCACACATGCTATCACAGTGGACACCTGCAAAAAAAAAACAACACATGGTCAGAATAACAAGGCATCGCTCTAACTGCTGTTAAACTCCGCCCGCTCTGCTGCATTTTGATGAGCCGCTAAAGCATGAGAAGAAATGTTTCATCTGCTCTCATCTTCAAACTGAAGGATTCTTTTTGTTGTTCAAAAAGGCTTAAGAGGCCATAAGTGTTTCACACATACTTTCCTCAGCAAGTACACACACTGAGAACTTTGATTGACCCCAAAGTCCTCAGAGCATCGAGCGTGGATCAATCCGCCACTGAAAGTAGTCCTCAAAGAAGCCCAGGCTACCTCTTGTAAGAAGGACGGTTGATGAAAGGTCCACTCAGACGCTGTGTCACAGAGAGCGGCACAGACTAATGCACTGATTCAGCCCCTTAATAGGAGGAATGGGAGCTGGAAATCATTTTTTAATGGGGGTATAAAAATATGCTAAAACGAGAGCCTCATTCTTAAAGTGCAGCCGTCTTAATGGCTGCAGGACAAGGCGTGGAGATGTGAGGCTGTGATGAACGATCACTTTCACTATTGATCCCTATTTATTGGAGATTTGTTCAGTTAAATGTCAGCAAGCAAAACAACAGTCTTAATTTTTAATGAGAATATTAGAAAACAGTCAAAGGTTGGAGAACCGATCGTGTCCTCATTTAACTGGAGCTTTTTAGATGTTTAGAAAAACACAGAATTCATTTTCTTTTATCAGCTGGAAAGGTGTCTCCAGAGAATACAGAAAACAAAAAGACATTGCTTAAATTTGATTGTTGCACCGACGCTGTTTTTATCAAGTATATCTGCCGAAAACAACTGAAACTCAGCCTTTTATAGACAAAATCTTCAAAAAGCTGAAAAGATTTCAGATAACACAGAAGATTGAGCCTCCAAAAATATTCAAACCCACTCTAATTATTCTCATTTTTATATCCTTACCCCTAAAAAAGTGTAAATTACTGGGATTTTATGAGATAGACCAAAAAGAGTGGAAATCCATATTTATGATTGTTAGAAAATAATGTTAAATGGGTTAATCATGATAATATAATTAAGATTAATATAACTCAAAATAAGCAAATTAATATATATATTAAATGTGCTTTATTAAACATCTTTCTTCTCAAAATGTTATTTAAGGCCTTAAATTGGGATAATCAGATAGATTTTTGTTGTCTCACAGAAACCTGGCAGCAGCAAGAGGACCATACAAGCCTAAACGGGGCGACTCCCTCCAGCTATTTGAATTTTTACATGCCCAGACATTTTGGACGGGGAGGCCGAGTACCAACAATCCTTCACTCTGATTTCACTCTGACTCTGGCTGTTGCGTGGCATTACATTCCTGTTGCCAGCATGGGCCTTAAGAAGAATCAAACCTTGGAGGATTTCGAGGAGAAAAGGAAAGCGTTGGATTTGCTTTCTGGAGAAACTTCGGCCATTTGACTCCAGCAAAAGTCCATTCTGGAACCTGCTTAAAGAAATGAAGGCTTTACGACTGCTTAATGAGGAAAAGGACAAAGGGTTTGCAGTTTTGGAAGACATAGTGGCTGACTTGGAACAAACCAGAATGAATGATGTGATTATCACCAGACTGCGTGTCAAGCCTCGCTCTGACGCTGGCGGGCAGGGCCCTGTCCGGCTGGTGAGCCGTCACCCGATGAGACAAAGTCCACAGAGGAACATGTGGCCTCGTTCCTCTTGTCGACGGGAATAAAGCTGGACTATGACCCTGTTGAAGCGCGGCAACTGCTCCAGAGACGAGGGAACAACAACAGACCGACGATTATCATGAGGCTCAGTAACCGGAAAAAAGCTGCTCTGCTGAAACAGGGCAGGTTGCTAAAGGGGTCGGACGTGTTCATTAACGAGAACCTGACCAAGAAGAACGTTGATGTCGCAAGGAAGGCCCATTTCCTGAGGAAGCAGAAGGTCCAGTCCACGCTGACCACGAACTGTAAGGTCTTAATCAAACTGAATGGAACACTGGAGGAGGTGAAAGTTTTGGTCATGACAGAACTGGATAAATATGACTGAACTCTCTGAGGATCATTTGGAGCTCAGGTCATATCACGCAGGACTCACTCTCACCATGTCACAAGTTACAGGAACTGATTCTTTCTCACTTATGGACACAACACTAACACCTACAACTGTTAGTGCAGATAACCTGGAAACTGCAAACATTCAGCTACACAGATTATTAAAGTCAGGGCATGGAAGACAAAGTGGATCCAGATAACATCTTATATGACATTGTTGATAGCTGCTGCTACTACACAACTGATCAATTCAACAGAGCAGTTCAAGTAGATACTCTTTCTCTATAGTAGAGGTTCCTATGCAAACTTCAACATCAAAGACAGTCTGAACCAGTTTAAACAGCCATTCAGCATCATAGCCATCTCTGAAACATGGATCGCTCATGAGAAAGGGGCTGATTTTGAGAAGAATAGTTATGGGTTCAATTATATCAATAGAGAAGGAAAAACTGGGGGAGGAGTAGCTCTGTATGTTGACAAAGACTCAAAGTATAAAATAGTAGAAAACGTGACCAGAGTGACTAAAAATGCATTTGAGTCTTTAACAGTTGAAATATTTATGGAAAAGTCAAAAAATGTAATTGTTAGTTGTATATACAAAGCTCCTGGTTAAAATATGGAAATATTTAGAAAATGTTTTGAGAAAACATAGACAGTTACAACTCAGAAGGTCTTCTTCATCTATGGGGACTTTAATATAGATCTACATAACTCAAATAATCATAAACCTACTGAAGAGTTCATTACAGTTCATGTTAGGGGTGTGGGAAATAATCGTTTTGGCGATATATCGTGATATTCGGCTGCCCAATATAATATCGATCTTTCACTTTTTAGTATCAATTTTCAAAAAAAAAAAAATGGTTACATAAAACATTGATGGGAAAATGGGCTACCTCTGCACCACCACTCTGGCAGAAAGCGCT